CCGTTAATATATTTCTTATGTTCTTTTTAAAAGTTTTTAGTTTAGACGAAAGTTATGATTGTAACCAGAAAAAAATGAAAATTGTGATTTTAATGGAGATTTTTTTTAGAGAGATTAATGTGATTTTGAACATTTTAGCTTGTTAGATTTATTAATCAGTGATCAAGAATAATTTATTGAAAAAATTAAGATTTGAAGATTTTATAAATATAAAATTATGATAGGTTATTAAGTTTTAACTAGAAAGTTTTAAATTGTTGATATATTTCGTAATTATAGTTACTAAAATATCAATTTTTAATTTATTATATTATTTTGATTTTTAAGTAATTTTTTTTTATAAAAAGAAAAATGAATTTTTATTTTTGTAATTATTCAACCGCAACCGCAAACGCTCGAGGAAAGCAGCGTTTGGATTTGAGAGGTTTGGAGCGACACATAGCAGTATAAAGCGTTTTCCATGATTGTCAAACGCCAACAACCGCTACCGCCCACAAACACAGCATTTGCGGGTGGTAGAGGGTGAACCAATCAACCCCTAAGTAGGTGATGTCATGTGTTAACACTTAAAATTAATTAAGAAAAGGTAAAAATAAAAATGAAAAATAGATAAAATAATTGTCAATAACTAACCAAATAAGAAAAAGTAAAATTTTCCTATAGTTCAAAAAAATTAGAAAAAGAAAAATTTCTAATAATCCAAACTAAATAGATAACCAAAAAAAAACTAATGATTCAAACTAATTATAAAAATAAATCAAGAAAAAAAATAAAGAGAGTATAACCCGTAAAAAATAAAGAGTGGAGAGAAAGTAAAAATTTCAATTAAAAAATAATAATATTGTGAATGATAAAACAAAAGACCTTATATAAATTGAAAAACAAAAAAAAAATTAAATTTTCAGATATGCACAATTTAATATTAAAAAGATATTATATAATAGTAAGGCCGACTGTTTGGCCCGATCATCCTATTCGAGGATGATTGAATTTTCTTATGTATGCAATACAATTCCAAATTGGGTAATCAATGGATGAAATTTATTTTAATGGAATGATTGGCTGAAAAAAAATGCACAAACATACCAAAGAAACAAATAATTTGTAAGTATAATTATTTTGTCAACATAATTATAGAATATCACATTGGTGGAATAGTAGATGTCGGCATTTTCACTCTTAAAGGAATGAAACTCGCCTAAAAAAAATCAATTTCGGCACATTCATCAAGCTTCCCAAAGAAAATAAAAAGTTTCTGCTTATGACGATGGTATTGGTATTTCTCAATGTTAAAAATGTTTTT